AACACCAGTGCCTTGGGCGCCTGGGTGGCTCAGTCAGTTAAGCGTCTGACTTCGGCTCAGGTCATGATCTCACGGTCTGTGAGTTCGAGCCCTGCGTTGGGTTCTGTGCTGACAGCTCAGAGTCTGGAGCCTGTTTCGGATCCTGTGTCTCCTTCTCTCTCTGCCCCTCCCCTGCTCGTGCTCTGTCCCTCTCTCTCAAAACTAAGTAAACATTAAAAAACAAAAACACCAGTGCCTGGCTGTCCATGAAGGTATCTTCATCGTAACAGGGGACTTGCTGAGGACAGTGCTGTGTCCATTCCAAACTCCAGTCCTAGGAGGTAGATGGGATCACGAGCCCCACTGTCTAGATAAGTGAACAGAGGCCCAGAGAGGGTACATTTTCCCCATGTCACAGTTATCTGGTGACAGGATCAGACACTAGGATCTGAGCTCCTGACCTCACCCCCGGTCACTTTTCCACAGAAGTTGAAGAAAAACATCAGTGCGTTATACCCACGTTCCAGGAGGAAAAAAAACTCAAGGCCCAGACGTAGGGAGAGATTCACACAAATGCACACAAGGATGAGAAACAGAACTGGGGTTTCACCCCACAGGTGGAGGCACAGGCCACAGGGAATGGGAGTCACCCAGAGCCTGGGGCGGGGGTGGGGGGTGACTCACGCGATGACAGGCATGTAGTAGTCAAACTTGGCCAGGAAATCTGGGAGGCTGGTGGGCTTGTCCATGCCGATGATGTCCTGTAGCTCCTCTGTGGTGTCAGCGGGGAGGGCAATCCCCCTCTTCCTGGGAACAGAACCGTGAGGGCAGCGGGCCGCTCCTGAGCGGGACCCAACCAACCCCTCAGAGGAGCCAGAACAGGAAACCCGGGGATCTCTCCACCCAACTCCTCCCGTTAAACAGATGGGAAAACTGAGGCCTGGGGCGTTTAGAACCCAGACTGGAATCCTTCCAGCAGCTCCTGTCCCCAAGGCTGTGACCAGCCAGGGAGTCGGAAGAGGGGATAACCGGAGTTAAAGTCTGTACACGCACACACGCACATCCCTGGTGCCTGGGACCCGAGAAGCTGCCAGGGCAAGCCCACAGTTTCCTCCTCAGCCCCAGGAGTGGGGAGAGCCAGCTGGGCTTCTGCCAGGTCAGGGGTTATCGGGGCACTAACTGCAGCAACACAATGCCCGGGGCAGGCACCAGACCTGCCCCCTCCGTCCTCCATCTGGCCGGCACATCAGAGAGGCCCGTCCTGCGCACTGAGCCGGGAGTGTCTGGTGGAGGCTCATGGGAAGGCATGGGGGGCCGGCCACCCACCTCAGCGCGGTCTCCCCTCTCTGCCCGCAGACCCCGTGTGGGGCTCGCCCAGAATAGCCCTTCTGGACCGGAGCCTCCTCTCAGCCGCGGGCAGCGGGGTGCGCAGGTGGGCTGGCCTCCTCTGCTGCGACTCCCGGGTCCCCCTGGGCCTCAGTTGCCCCACTTTTAAGAACAACAGACATTCAAGACATGCTTCTACCATGAAGGGACAAAACAGGAGACCAAAGGGGCTCTGAGGAAACAACACAGAGAACAGAAGAAAACCTGAAACCCTGACAACGAAGAGCCTCAGGGACAGGCGAAGAGGTCACGTCCCTGAAACACAGCATCCTTTTCAGGAAGGGGACAACCAGAGGGTAAGGGCTCCCAGAAACCTAGAAGAATATGGCGCCAATCATCGTAAGGATATAATAAAATGAATGAAAATAAAGCGGCGAAACGCCTCCAGCAAGTACCACAAGAGACAAAAAATAGGAGCAAACGGTTAATCAGGTGACTAGATCAGGCTGGAGCAGCCGGTTATCTGCAAAGCAAGAACAAAAGAAGGAAGGAAGGAAGGAATCGCCAGAGAAACCGAAGTTTGAATAGCGTTTATGTTCCTTACTGACTTCGGTCACTAAAATACTATGATGCTTCCCCACATAAATCCCTAAGGCCCCGACGTAGGCTCTCCTCTCCTCCCGGTGGCCCAGGAGTGGCCCCCAGTCTGCAGCCAGCCCCCACTCCCCCGCCTCCCCCCAGCCCCGTGTCCCCACAGGACACCGTGGGGGGAGATGGCATCCCTGGTGTGGTCCCGGCACAGAGGGCAGCGTGGACCCCCTTATCCTTCCGTTGCCGGGCAGCCTGCCCCAAGGCCACCCTCGGAAGGTCATCCCCAGGGACCGAGTCCCCGGCCCCCGAGCCAGGACCATTTAAGTGCTGTGTTTGGGAGCTGGTGGTGGCAGCAGAGGAAGGCTTTGGCGCTCACGTGGTCAGAGGCAGTGGCCACGCTTGCATAGGCCCTGCTGGACCTGCTCTGTGCGGCTCCCCTACCGGTCTTCCTCCAGCCCCCACGACCACCGCTTCCTGGCAGGGCTCTTCCTCCTGACATGCTTTCAGACTGTCCCTTTTACACACCTGTCCGGATGGACTCCTCCCCTTTCAAGGTTTTCACCTGAAAATCCAGAAATCTCTGCCTCTACACACCACCACTTGAGGGCCTAGGGCGGGCCGGGCACTGGATGGGACAGCAGTGACCAAGATAGACCACCCACCTCCTGCCACCTCTCCCCTCCCTGCCCCACGCTCCACATCCCCAAATACAGCCCCTCCGACCCCCCAGCTGCCCAACCCACGGTGGGGGGCCTCCCTGGGACTCCATCTGCTTTGCCCACCAGCAGCCAGTCCCCAAGTCCCACTTATTTTCCTTCCTAAATGTCTGTCCCATTAGTGCCCCCCTCTCCAGACTCTCTCCTCATCAGCCACCAAGAGATCTTTTGACAGAGTGGTCAGAGGAGGCCGGTTAGAGGAGGGGACAGTTATGCAGAATTAAAAATTTTTTTAATGTTTATTTTTGAGAAAGAGAGGGAGACCGAGTATGAGTGGGGGAGGGCAGAGAGAGAGAGAGAGAGAGAGAGAGAGAGAGAGAGAGAGAGGAGCAGACACAGGATCGGAAGCAGGCTTCAGGCTCTGAACTGTCAGCACAGAGCCAGACACGGGGCTCGAACTTAACGAACCGCAAGATCACGAAGTCAGACACTTAACCGACTGAGCCACCCAGGTGCCCCTTAAGCAGAACTAGGAAAGAGACAGAGGGAACAAGAGGGGCTCCAGGCAGAAGCCAGGAGGGAAGGTGAGGCATAGGGAGGCTGGAGCTCAGAGTGGGGTCAGTGGTAGGTGATGAGCCAGAGGGCAGGCGGAGCCCAATGGGGCTAAGTTAGGGCCTTACCCCCAAAGCATCGGCAAATCGCTGAAGGATTTCAAGCAGGGAAGTGGCGTAAAGAGGTTTCAGTGCTCCTTCTGGCCGCCGTGCGGGTAACAGATCCAAGAGCTACTGTCGCAGTCCCAGCAGGAGACAAACGGCACAGACACTCTTCTGGATCTCACGCACGACTGGGCCTCCAGAAGCTGCTTAGACCAAGCTGTAAAGCTCCAGTCTGGGACCCAACGCTGAGGCAAGGAGGAGTTCCTCTTAGGGCCCCGGGTCCTCCTGCCACCACAGCCACTCGGCAGCAAAGGCTCCACCCGGGACCAAGCTTGGTCCTCAGATGGTCCCTACACCCCAGTCAGCCCTGCCTTGGCCAGTCCTCTTCCGGCCGTGGTGGGTGATGCGGCCACAGGGAGCCTGGCCAGAGGGCCCCGTGAGGAAGAGGAGCTCAGGATTTGGAGGTCAAAGTCCATCCCCCTGCCGTAGGTACCAAATCACCCAGGGTAGGAGCTGTCCCATCTGGGGACCTCCACATCCTTGTCAGTAAAACAGACAGTACTTGCTTTGCAGAGAACAGAGAAGCAATGAGGCTATTTACGTGTCCAGCGTAAGACAGCAAGTTCCAAAGCCTGACGGACTGGGTTCCTTAAAGCCTGTGTGACCCTGGGAGAGTTACTCAACCTCTCTGTTTATTAAGTCTGGCAGGTTTGAGAAACATCCAGTGTGGACTAAGTGGCAGAAGAGGTCAGAGAGGCCACACAAGCTTTGCAGGTCTGTAAGGGCCATGGGTGGACTTCGGCTTTGCCCCTAAGCAAGCTGGGAGTGTGGGAGGGCTTGAGCAGGGGAGGGGGGCTGGTCAGACTCTGCTTTAAGCAGTTGTTCCGACTACAGTACTGTGGGGACAGGAGACGGGGGAGGCCAGAGCGGCCACCCGGAGACCAGTCAGGAGGCCACTGCCACAGTCCAGGTGGGGATGCTGGTGGCTCAGGCCAGGGCGGCGAAGGGAGGAGAGCGAGCCCACGTCCAGAACGTGCTTTGGCCAAACGGCTGACAGGGTCACGAGGAGATGGAGAAAGAGGTAGGAGAAGCACCCGAGAGGACAGAATCATAGGAGCAGAGGGAAGCAGCGGGCACGAACATGGTCAACGGAGGCCCAAATCACAGAGGCAGAAGAGGCGCCACTGGATTTGGTGACAGGGAGGGAGGGAGGGAGGGTCTTCCTTCTTTCCTTCCTCAGCCCACCACACCCAGGAAGTCCTCCAGTGTGTTTATGGACATCCACAGCTGCGTCTGACCGACTCCCTGCTCCCCCGCCTGCTGGCCTCGAGCTCAAGCTCCAGCTGGCACCTGTGACACCCCTTCCCCGGGGCCCACAAAGCCCCTCCCCTGCTCCTGATGCCAAGGTGACGTGGGGACAGCAAATCCGACCAGCATCCCCACAGGGGCGGTTCCCCTCCCTCCTCTCTCTACCCCGTCCCGGACTCAGGCCTCCTTGCTCCACCACCACGTGCCCTCTGACCCCTCGAACGAGCACCTGCCAGGAGATCCCATCCCCGTGCCAGTAGCCCGCCTTAACGGCCTCATTAGGAGCCCTGGGGGAATGGCCAGCCCTCCGCACGGGCAAAGGACAGGCCGAGATAAGCCAAGCAGCTTCACCCCACTCAGCCGGAGCCACGACTTATAATTAATAACACCATCATTAAGTGCCCTTTATGGACACCGTGCTTAACCCCGAGCTAAGGGTTTTCTGTGCACAGCTTCCCCTAAGCCTCCCGCTGGCAGGAGTTAATGTTCAGGGTGTGGACTCGGGGCCACACCCATGCTTACTAGACAAGTCCCCTCACCTGCCAGGGCTCAGTGTCCTCCTCCACAAAATGGGGACAACAGTGGTACCTCCTCACAAGCTGTCGTGAGGATGGAGTACGTCAGCCCCGGTGCAGCGCTTCTATGGCTCTCGGCACAAGGCCAATGACGTAGGGGAGTCAAAAACTACATCAGTAGCAACTCCCTAGGGCAGAGTGAGGTCTGTGTAAGTAGGACAAGGCGGAGGAGCGTGTTCCCGCCAGACCTCTGTCCCCAGCTCTCGGAGGTGGAAGAGGTGCTCCGGAGAGTCGGGGGACAGACTCCCCAACATTGCTAGTTCTCTGGAACGGTGGCATCTGGAGAGGCCAGGGCACTCTGGCTGACGGAGCAGAGTGTTCACACTTGGGTCTGAGCTGAACTGCTCCAGGCAACGAGAGAGGCGGAGTCCTCCCAGCTCCACAGGGAAGGAGTGCCCAGCAAACAGGTGAAGAGCACAGTCCCCGGAAGGAGGGGTGGGTGGCAGAAGGGGCCCCCATCTCCCAGGTCAGTTCTGGAAGAGGCCAAGGTTGCAGCAAGGAAATGGTGTGCTCACATTTGCATCCGGACCCACTGGCCTCTAAAGTCCCTGCTGTTAAGTGTTAGACCCAAGAGAAGGGCCACCATGAGCCCTTGAGGTGGGGAGGGAGGGGCGGGTGTCCCTCACTGGGGGGGGCACTAGGGACCCTTCAACCCACCCACGTGCCTGTGAGCCGAGGCAGGAGGCACATTCTCGCTTGGAAGATGAAGAATGGCCCCCAGAGGGGGGGCCTCCTGTCCACATCCCCCAGCAGGCTATGGCCAGGGTCACATAGGGAAAGCCCTGGGGATCAGATGACCCTGGGTCAATTTTAGACTCTGTTTATGGTTATGTGGCCTCAGGCTACTGCCTTCACTTCTCTGAGCCCCTGGCTCTCCTCAGTGACATGGGGATAGCAACACCCTCCCTCCTCCAAGTGTGGAAGGATTAAATTCACTGACTCAAGGAGAGGGCTCAGCCTAGCGGCCCAGCACGAGGAGATGGTCCCAGCATCCTGTGTGGGTGCATCACCTGCCATAGACTCTACGGATTCAAAACACAGTGACCGGTTCAGTCCTGGGGACTGCCTCCTCGTGTGTGTGTGTGCGCACGTGTGTGTGCACCTGTCTGCGTGTGAGGCAGGGCAAGCTCTTCCTGGCTCACCTGGCAGCAGGAAGAAAGAGAAGCACAGAAAGCAGAAGACTTGGGCTGTGGGTCTCCCGCTCAGAGCTGAGGGGCCTTCGTTTGTCCACAGACCACCTTGTTCCGGCCAGGGGGCCAGCTTGATTCCATGGAGATATAGGAAGGAACAACCCTGGAATTGTCCAGGGTCCTCTGGGTTGAACTGTGGGCCCCCAAATATCCCCAAATGTTGGGGAGGAAGGTCTCTTATCCAAGGACTTACTTGCCATAGTATAAGATGGTTTCAGGCTTGATGGCCCCATCCAGGTGGATATGCAGCTCCACCTACAAGGGGGTAGAGGAACAGACACCCATGAATGCCTGAAGTACCTTCCAGAGGGTTTACGTTAACAATGACCATGATACCATTAGTCCCATCAACTGGACACTTACCACATATGCCCCACTAAACTCTTTATACACACCACCTTGTTTAATCCTCATCTGTGGGGCGGGTTTAATGGTCATGTCTAGCTCTTTAACAGTTAAGACCACAGACAGATTCAACCACAGCTGAGGTTCAAGGAGGTTAAATAACTTGCCCAAGGCCACACAGCAAGCCATAGAGGCAGGAACCCAGCCTAGTGCTTTGGTTCTCAACCACAGCTGGTAAATGGCAGAACCAGAATTGTAACCCAAGTTCAATCCCAGAGCCGGTGCTCTTAAACACGAGGCCAACCATGGTACCATAGGAGCTATGGAGCCCCAGCCACTGCCCCCACCCAGGCAGTGTCTGCTCTCCACCAACTCAGTCAACAAAATCCAGTATTAAAAAGTGTTGACCACAGACTTCCTGGACCTGTGAATATCCACAGTGGATTTCAAAACACAGGCCCCATCTTCAAAAGCAAAAGCAGATGTCACTTAAGCACAATTATCAGGAATCAATATTAGGCGACACAAGATCCTTCCAGTATTCCAGAAAGGGTACCACATACTTGGCCATCTTGGTGATCTTTCTCTACACACATACACACAACCCCAACAAATGTTGGACACACAAAGCCAGGAGTTGAAGGACACAGGCTTTGGAGACCGCCCATCAGACTGGGCTCCCAGATCTGCCCCTTTGCTGGCTGTGTGACCTCATCTAAGACTCTTGATCTCTCAGAACCAGTTTCTCAGCTACAAAACAGGGTATTTCTGCCTCCCTCTCCACGAACAACTCTGAGGATTTAAAAAAACAAAACAAAACAAAACAAAAAACCAGACAGTGTTGGGTGCTTGGGTGGCTCAGTCAAGTGTTCAACTTTGGCTCAGGTCATGATCTCACACTTCGTGAGTTCAGGACCACCCCCCCTCCCCCATCGGGCTCTGTGCTGACAGCTCAGAGCCTGGAGCCTGCTTTGGTTTCTGTGTCTCCCTCCCTCTGTCCCTCCCCCGCTAGCACTCTGTCTCTGTCTCTGTGTATCTCTCTCTCTCTCAAAAATAAACATTAAAAAAAAAAAAAAAAAGACAGTGTAGGTGGATGTGTATGGCCCACAGGAAGCAGACACCGCTCTCGGCCAGGGCATCTTCCAGAAGCGGTTAAGGTGAGCATACCAGGGGGCACCTACGTGGCTCAGTCCGTTAAGTGTTGGGCTTCAGCTCAGGTCATGATCTTGTACTCTGTGAGTTCGAGCCCCACATCAGGCTCTGTGCTGACACTCAGAGCCTGGAGCCTGCTTCAGATTCTGTGTCTCCCTCTCTCTCTCCCCTCCCCTACTCACGCTCTGTCTCTCTCTGTCAAAAATCAATAAATGTTAAAAAAAAAAAAAAAAAGATGAGCATACCAGGTACTCGGAGACAGCGGGAAAGTGACTTTTCCTGGGCCAGGGGGAGATCTAGAGAACTCCAGGTTGGGCCCTTCTCTGGAACTTGGGGACCTGGACACAAAAGTAGCTGCCTTGGCTGGGGAGGAAGCCACTGGCTCCCGGGAATCCCAGGAACACCCACCTGAGCCGCTTCCTGTAGAGGAAACCCAGCCTCAGAGGCATAGAGCTGCCAAGCCCTCCTCCCAGAATTTGGTCCGTGTAATCAGATCTTTCCAGAAGTCATCCAGCCTGCAAAGGAGCCAGTGGCACTCACCCCCAGGCTCAGAGGAGCTGTTGGTTCCCTGACAAAATAAGTTCAATGCCCACTTAGCTAACTGTTCATTGCAATCTCAAAAAACAGAAAAATGGTCAGCATTG